AGCCGCAAGGTCTCAACACTCTGGTGATTTTAGTCTTCCGATCTGAAGTAGCATTTTGATTGTCTGTTATTTCATTTTTAGTCAATTCTGTCTGTTCAATCCTTTTTTTGATATACCTACTATATTTATATATTCAATTTTCATTTTCTTACTGTGTAAAAATCAAATGAAATATACATGTATCCGTGTGGTGACGGATTAAGAATACAAATTGTCACCACCCCAATTCATCCCGTGGGTGTCGTAAGAGCCGACTAAGGGAGCAAACTAAGCAGGACAACAGCACTGCAAAGAGAAGGAAAACTTGAAACAAACCCTATACCAACCCGTCTGGCCAGCCAGCCAGCGTGGTATAGTAGGCCAAACCCTCCTTTCTAAGGAGAGGCCTATGTCCAGCAGTGGACTTGTATAGGCTGTTGATGATGATGATGATTGATGATACATGTATGTATGACTGAGGTGTAAGTTGTGTTTCTCTGAAGAGTCCCTTAGGTTGCCCACACGCACACATATCCGTACCCCTCTGTCGTCGACAAGGCGCCCTTTTTTTTTTTTTTTTTGTTTTTTTTGTTTTTTTTACGTGTGGAAATCCCCTCGGACCGTCACCCCGCCGGGGCTCTCGTTCGGCGGGGCGGTGTGTCGGACTCGAACCGACTAAAACCACACGGTGTGCCCTCTTTGCGCTTCCAGTTTAGGAGGGGTCCAGGTAGCTATCTCCTTCGGGATCCCTCCCAGCGCCGGCCCGCTCCTGATGCGGGCTCCGTCTCAGTGGACCCTCTCTTTAGGCGACGTCCGGCACACGCGGACGCCGCCCCCTCGCGGCTGGCCAACTAATGCGGGTGGAGGGGAGAACCCATCCCGTCCACCCGCGGCCACACTCAGGGCGGCATGAGGCGCAGGTAAGCGCGCCTCCGCCGCCCGGTTCGCCGGCGGCGGATCAGGTCCGAGTGGAGGTCGTCCTCCCGGGCCTTCTCCGCCGCCTCCTTCTGCGAGATTACCTCCTCGCAGAAGGTTGCGACCGCGGTAAAACAACTGTCGCTACCGGCCATGGAGCGAATTACGGCCGGTAGCGAGAGATCTGCTCCGATGACTGCAGTGAGGGCCCGGCGCTGCGTCGCCCATGCGGGGCAAGCCGCCAGCGTGTGCTGGGCCGAATCCTCACTGCAGTCGCAGTGGTGGCAGGCGGGACTCGGTTCCCTCCTAGCGACCGAGTACAGGTACTTTCCGAAGCAACCGTGCCCGGAAAGCACCTGCGTCAGCCAGAAGGAAAGGGTCCCGTGCTGCCGCCCTGCCCACTCAGCGATGACCGGCTGGAGAGCCTCCACGCCGGCGAAACCAGCGCGTGGAGTCCCCAACCGGAGCGACCATCTGACCATGGTGGCTCGGCGAGCGGCTTTGCGCCACTCGCGCACGTCTTCGGGCGGAGGGCGAAATCCGCTCTCCGCCCGGAAGTCAGCCACTCGCCTATAAACTTCGGCGAGCACCTTCGCCTCCAAATCCCACGGGGGTGTTCCGGCCAAGGCGCAAGCCGCCTCGGTGGACACCGTGCGGTATCCGCGTATGGCTCTGACCGCCAATATCCTCTGGGGGCGCCAGAGGCGCGCCCTATTCTGGGCGGTCAGAGCCGCCACCCACACCGGTGAACCATAAAGCGCCATGGACCGGACAACCCCCGCGTACAGCCGCCTCGTGGGAACACTGGCTCCGCCCAAATTGGGCAAAAGTCGCCCTAGGGCGGAGGCAGTGTCCACCAGCTTCGGACCAAGCTGTCGGAAGTGCTCGTCGAAGAGCCACCTACCGTCTACGACCAGACCCAGGTACCTCATCTGGGCCCGGACCGGTACGAGGACCGAGCCGACCTCGATTGAGGCGCCGGCGGGTGGACCACGACGGGGCCCATGAAATAATAGGGCCTCCGTCTTATCCAGGGCCACCCGCAAACCCAACGCCTCAATGCGCCCGACCACCAGGGAAACTCCCGTGGCGGCCAGGCGCGCCGCCTCCTGGAAGTTAGCCCCCCGGGCCGTGACTAAAGTGTCATCCGCGTAGCAGAGTACACCCAGCCCGGGGGTGAGACGCCCTCGTAGGGCCCAGTCGTATCCAATGTTCCACAGGAGTGGTCCTAGGACAGACCCCTGCGGAACACCGCACGACATGGCCCTGCGTCTCAAGACGCCATCTCGGAATATCGACAAGGCGCCCTGAGGTAACCCAAATCTCGTGAATATCTCCGATGGGTAAGTCGGTGAGTAGACCGCCTGCCACGTTCAGCGGTTACAAATTTACTTAGATGGTTTACATCATACATATTCCGTAGAACTCAAAAGGTCGTGGTCAATAGTTATGAGTCCGATTACACGGTCGTCGAGTCCGGTGTGCCCAAAGGCTCACTACTAGGCCCGTTGCTTTTTATTTTTAACCGACTTCAAAAAGGAGGAGGTTCTCAATTCGATTGGTATTTTTTTTTTATGTATGTACACCGATTACTCTGAGATTTATGATCCAATTTACGTGATTCTTCCTCAGTTTGATGCGGAATAGTTGCCATTTGGTCCCATAAAAATTTGACATAGTTAGGCCCAGTAGTTTTCATTTATGAACATTTTTAATGAATATTATTGTTTACTTGGATGATATAATTTTAGTTTGTGTACGGCCTTTTTAGGAGTTTTCATCTAAGTTGATTATATATTATTTTATAAACATTTTTTTAGGAGATTTTTAATGAATATTATTGTTTACTTGGATGATATAATTTTAGTTTGTGTACGGCCTTCTTAGGAGTTTACATTTAAGTTGATTATATATTATTTTATGAACATGTTTTTAGGAGTTTTCATTTAAGTTAATTATATATTATTTTATGAACATTTTTAATGAATATTATTGTTTACTTGGATGATGTAATTTTAGTTTGTGTACGGCCTTTTTAGGAGTTTTCATTTAAGTTGATTATATATTACTATTAACCCGTGTCCCGATAAGTGGGTCTTAGGCTACCTATCATTGAAGCGGAGCGAGCTTGCGGAGTAAAGAAATTGAGAAATATTATAACCAATACGTTTGCATATAAAATCTCGGAACGAAGAAATAATTAAAAAGGAAATTTTAAAATGAAGTAAAAAAATTAATCTAGATTTAACTGTCTTAATCGTTGCATTTCCTGTAGTGCTTTGCCATCATGTGGTTTGTGTAATAATTTAGATGGTTCTAGTCTATGAGAGAAGAGAAGGAGGAGTCTATGAGTCCTCTGCTCAGCAGACTCGTTGGCTAGACGGTCATAAATAAGGCCTAACCTATGCGCTTGCTGTTTAGAAGTCTCTTTGGCAAGACGTTCTTGAATCTTAGCGAGTCTAGACTCATACTGTTCAAGAGTTTTTTGAGAGAACGTAATTTTATATAATTTTTCATAGCTAACAAACGTTCTTCACGATCTATCTCTGTCTCACAAGAAGTGAGAAGAGTTTCGAACAGCATTTTTTCTTAGTCGATTCCTTTTTTCCGTTCCCGTTTCTTGGGATCTATATTGTTTAAGGCGCGCTCCTCCTTTCGTATGCGTACCCATAGATACTTACTATTTGAAAACTAAAAAAAATACTATTAGATATATGACAATAAAAAGCAACGAAATGTTATAGTTTACCTGATGTAATCTAGAAAAATCCTACTGTAGTTAACAGAACAACCTATTTCAGACACTAAAAAGTAAAAAATAAAAAAAACTGCGTTTAAAAAAACCGACTTCAAAAACTAAAAAGTATATGACGGGGTAGTACGATCATTATCCTCAATAGGGCCCATAGTTCCTCACTTACTAACTGCGGGCGTCGATGGGTAATGTTGGCGCAACGAAACAATTTAGTTCAGTTGATTAAATTATAATGTCCAATGATTTCACAATGTAGATTATTACACAACTATAGCTAATACGTATATCGCCAGGAACGCGTGACGGTTTCAATATGCGACCGCTCTGTCCGACTGCCACACAACAAGTGTTCATGTGCACCGTTCGGCCTTTAAACATTGACTCCGTCAAGCGCCGACAGGTGGCGCTGGCGTTTCGGATATTACGTAATTGCGACACGGCCATCCTGTTTTGCACACGTCCTCGTGTGCCGGTTAATCTGCAACAAAACATCCACGAGAATACTTGTCCTGCTCGGTCATGCCTGACCACACTTTACATTTTATGGCCTAAGTAAACACATTAAAACTAAAACAAGCAATAGAGGATACAAAAATAACTAGACAACGGTCAGAGCCACGTACCACAGTCGTTCGTATCAAGTTTCAAAACTACTCTGTTAAAGCTTACAGAAAACTTTACAGAAACACTCGAGTAAGACATCTAACGCCCCGGCTCTCCAGCCGTACAGCAATCGCATTGCTCTCACAAAATCATCCAGCTCATGGATCAGATCCATCGAATGGATCACCCGTGTGTCACCCACTGACCACACGTATGGTCTCTGCAGACCCCGACCTCCGCCAGAGTTAAACGCACACCGCGCACCCACGGACTACTTGAGTTGCCTCAAGAGACACCGATTTCTACCGGGCTACGACTACGAAATAACTACTGGTACGGTCGAACTTACTATGGCCTCTAGAGTCCCCTTACTCGAGTTTCCACCACCACTTAGGGTTACAATTCGTTCTTATCAGATTCTGCATCAATCTCGACTGGTACGTGACTTGCTGGCATTTTCCTTAGCCTATCGTGAGCATATTTGTAAGTACGTTTCGAATTCAGAGCTCTTAGTGTGTAACGGTCCCCTTCCAATACTTCTACAACTTTAAACGGCCCTTTAAATTTCGGATCTAGTTTTGTCTGATTACGCTCTTCGTTCTCTTACAATACAAAGTCACCAACTGAAAAGTTAATAATTTTCGCCTTCGTTTTATCGAAACGAGACTTGTCATAAGCCGCACACTTCTTAATATTGTCGGACGCTTTTTCGCGAATCTGGTCAATATCAACGGCATCGATCTCTATGTCAGTACAAAATTAAAAGCTCTAAAGGAGAAGCTTTCGTCACTCGGTTCATCGTACAATTTATCGCTAATTGAACCTCGCCTAATGAGTCTTGCCACGATTTGTTATCTTTGGTCTCAACGGCAGTTAGCATAGACTTTAAGACTGACATAAAACGCTCTACTTGCCCGTTGGCACGAGACGAACCTGTCGCTATGAGATGCAAATCTATATTCCTACCAGTAGAAAAATCACGAAACTCTTTACTCGTAAAACAGCGACCCTGATCGGCAATTAACCGGGTAGGAGCCCCAAGAAGTGCTACGCTTTGAGTCACCGCATAAATACTACTTTTGGAGTCAATGTTCGTCGTGGGGAATAGTAGGACGTACTTTGTAAATGCATCGATCAGAACGAATACGTATTCTTTCTTATCATTCTTTCCGCTAAGCTTGCCCGTCGCATCGATGTGAACCGTGTGCCAAGGAGTGGTCACCTTAGGTATAGGATGTAACTCGGCTTGAACCCTTCCGGAGTGAGATTTCGCAACTTTACAAGTAACGCAGCTATCCACAAACTTTTTCACATATTGTGACATTCCCGGGAACCAGTAAAAATCGAATAGCTTTTCAGTTGTCTTTTCAGCTCCAAGGTGAACGACAGAGTCATGAAAATTATTCACTACTGACCATCGGAGAGCACGTGGCAAATAAGGTAAGCATTTCGACCTGCCATTACGTTGAATCTTACGATGAAGAATACCCGATCGAAGTACATAGGTCGTAGCTATACTTTCGTCCAACTTATCTTCCTCTAAGTCCGTTATGATTTTAGAGACCTCTGCATCACGCTGCTGTTCTGCTTGAAGCCAGTTGGGAGAAAGCTCAGCTACGTCAATGCGTTTCGACACTACACGCGATTGTAGCGACCTTGACTCTGGTGGTAGGGGATTTCGTGAAAAGAAATCTACGTGTGCCATATGTTTTCCCTCTTTGTACCTGATGTCAAAATCAAACGATTGAAGAAAAGCCCACCATCTATGCGCTCGGGGAGTCAGCTCTTTCTTTGTTTGGGATGATTTCAATGAGTTACAATCCGTAACGACGATAAATTTCCTACCATGAAGATATTGTCGGAAATGTTTTATAGAGTTCACAACCGCCAGAGTTTCCAACTCGTAAGAGTGGTATTTACTTTCTGCTGGAGATGTTCTCTTACTAAAGTAGGCTACCACACTTCGCTTGCCATCAGCCGTGACTTGGAACATAATTGCTCCATAGCCCAAGCTACTAGCGTCCGTGTGGAGCTCTACCGCGAGCTCTGGGTCATATATTGTCAATACAGGGTCATTTGTTAAGGTTGAGATGATTTTCTGACGAATATCCTCATGTTCAGGTTTCCAACTCAGCTCACCTTTCAATGAGGTCAGTCGGTACAAGGGTGTCATTATTTTGGAGAAGTCTCGTACGAATTGACGGAAATATGAGGCTAACCCGATGAATTGTCTCAACTGAGTCACGGTCTCAGGAGGTGGAAGAGACGTTAGAGCCTCTATTTTTCTGCGATTGGGTTTGATCTGACCAGACCCCACCTCAAACCCCAAGAACTCTACCTTCATTTTGAGGAAGGAGCATTTCTTCAGATTCAAAGAGAAACCAGCTTTAGTCAGAGCTTCTAACACAGTATTGAGTCTCTTCAAGCCTGACCCTACATCGGGAGAGACAATCAAAATATCATCAACGTAGACTATCACGTAATCATGAGCAAGGTCACCTAGTGCATTCATAATAGCCCTTTGAAACACTGAGATTGCATTCCTCAGTCCGAATGGCATAGTCAGAAATTCGTATTGACCTTCGTTTGTAATGAAAGCAGTCCTCTCTATGGACTCTTCATGTACTGGAATTAAGTGGAAACCGCTGGCGCAGTCTAACTGTGAGAAGTAGTTAGCTCCGTGAAGCCGTGAGATTTGATCAGAGATCAAAGGAAGTGGGTAACGGTCAGGGACAGTGTTACTGTTAAGCTCGCGATAGTCAATACACATGCGATCTGAGCCGTCGTGCTTCTTGACTAGTAAAGCTGGGCTTGCGAATGGAGAGCAGCTAGGTCTGATAATATTCGCATCTAAAAGTTCTCTTACGCGCTCGCGAATAATGCTACGTTCGTCAGCCGACATTCTATATGGTCGTCGCTGAACCGTGCGATTCGGATCTATCAACCTAATTTTAAACTTGCCTGTATTTACACGTGTCGTAGGCAATCCTGTGATAAAAAAATCAGAGAATCGATCTAGCGTTTGCAAAAGCCTCGACTTGTCACAACCTTCTATATCTGTAGCAATAGTGGTTAAATATGAAGTACGCGCGTTATCATTATTCACGGAATTTACACAAAGAATCTTGGTTAAGCCAAGCTCCGTCGCTGTCATGTTCATAGCAAAACCCTGATTTAAAATCTCCCGACCTATCACGACGTCACTCCGTAAGTAAATGTCGGGTAAAACATGTAACAATACTTCAAGATGGTGACCATTAATCGCAATACAAGACAGAATCTGTTCCGTGCTAAATACTCGCGATTGACCAATGCCTATCATAGCAACAACATTATTAATACGCTTGCCACTAAATTTAACCGCAAAGCTTTCTTTAACTAACGAACATTCAGCGCCAGAATCGTAAGTAAAACAAATCAGTTCACCTTTATGTTGTAACGTGCCCGACGGTGGTTGCAAGACGCAGACATCAACGCGTCGTTCGACTCGGCTGCCGTCGCCCGCCCGACCGCCACTTGTACACTGGACCGCAATATGGCCTGGTTTTCCACATTTGAAGCAGAGCAAAGGCTTTGGTGCTGGCTGCTGGACTACTGGGCTCGGCATTGTAGCTCGTCCTCTAACGTCGTTCGTCTTGTTTCTACAATCCGCTCGCTTGTGACCAGTCTTGCCGCAGTTGAAAGCATTTTACAAAGGCTGACCTCACTCGTTTGACATCGTGAGCAATCGATGATTCTCCTGCGTTATTTATCTTGCGCTTTAATTGCGAGAATGCGTTCAATTCTCGCTGCAGTTGTTCTCGCGAAACGATGTTTGTGGTAAATGCCAAGCGTTGAAGTCGCGGGTCAAACTGTGACGTATGAGCCAATACGGTAGCTACGGCGATCTCTTCTTTGGTTACATCCTTCCAACGATTCGTCAAAGAAGCTATTAACCGACTTGCATATGCGGGAAGTGACTCTTTTTCGCTCGGTTTTTCTCCATTTAATTTTATGAGGGTACCCGCCAATGTTTCCGTCGAAATAAATCTGGTAGTAAAAAGTACCTTAAATTCACTCCATGTCATTCCTTCGTATGCTATTTGAGATAGCCACGTCGATGCTTCACCTTTGAGCGCCTTGCTGACGGCTAGTACAAGTTGACCACCACTTGGTGGATTCTCGGCAAAACACAAATCGGCTGTTGTGCACCACGCCCTCGCATCAGTATCTTTCTTGTCAGGGTCGAACGTAGGTATATCTTGACGGTAGACTGGCTTAGGCGCTTGCAGGGCTTCGATCAGCGCTCGCATGTTCTGGTTTTGTTGTTCAAACATGGCACGCCAAATATCGGCTTGGTTTCTATCATTTTGCACCAACACTGATCCCAGTTCTGATGACGGGGTAGTACGATCATTATCCTCAATAGGGCCCATAGTTCCTCACTTACTAACTGCGGGCGTCGATGGGTAATGTTGGCGCAACGAAACAATTTAGTTCAGTTGATTAAATTATAATGTCCAATGATTTCACAATGTAGATTATTACACATAGACACACAACTATAGCTAAACGTATATCGCCAGGAACGCGTGACGGTTTCAATATGCGACCGCTCTGTCTGACTGCCACACAACAAGTGTTCATGTGAGCCGTTCGGCCTTTAAACATTGACTCCGTCAAGCGCCGACAGGTGGCGCTGGCGTTTCGGATATGACGTAATTGCGACATATAAAATAACTTAATAAAGATTAAATTTAATACACCTCTTATGCAAACCTTTAATATTAATAAAATACTGTTGTTTGTATGTGCTACCTATTGATAGGTTTGAAGTCGGTGCCAAGCCAAATGTAATAGAAGGTACCCTTCAACAGCAACAGATTATGGGAGACTTACCAGAGGCAAAGAGTAAACCATCACGTTCGTTTGCCCACACCGGGATAGGCATATCCTGCTTAAAGCCAAAAAAGCTTGAAATATCATTTTAAAAGAGTAATCGGAGGAAATGTTAACGTACAAAGAGTTGTCAACGGTATTAGCCCAAATCGAAGCGTGCCTGAATTGTGCCTACACTAGAACTGAAGATCCATAAGATTTAAATTATCTGACACCGTCAGACTTCTTGACTAGTGGAGCAACACTAACATTGGTTGAAACAGAAAGAGACTTGGGAACCAGATGGCAGCTGACAGAATTTTTGGTGACATTTGGAAACGATGGCGTTCTGATTATCTAACACAATTAACAACGTAGCAAATGGCGAAAGCGTCACGAAAATATCAAGCTAAATGACGTAATCCTTCTGCACGACGACAACACACCAACGGAAAAATAGTCAATGGATAGAGTGATAGAGCTGCATCCGGGTACAGACAGGATATGTCCGAGTTGTTAGCCTAAAAACGAAAAAGGGAGTACTCAAAAGAATCATCATAAAATCATCAATTTTGCCAGTTAACCCATCCAAATCTGAGATATCTCAAAACGATAAAAATATTGTATCCGCTACTGTAAACTCCTTCCCTACTCAGAAAAGAAATGTAAGAAGTTATAATATCGTATCACTGCTTACATCCTCAATATTTTTTATGACTATTATATGAACTGTACAAAGCAGTTTTTATTTTACGAAGGTCAACATCAAAGTCTTTATTTCGATAAATTGTCCGATATGCAGATATACGGCATGATTGGAAAATAATTATTTGCCACGACATAACCCTTACTGGAAGTGAAAAAAGCTCTCAATAAATATTATACGTCTCTGGAACAAACGTGTAATACAATAAATCATACAATGAACTGCGATATTATATTACTACAATTGAATCAAGGTGTTGTTAAACTTGAATATTATAATCTGATGTTCCAGTCTCGTAGACGGCGTAGGATATCTCGCCAACAATCTGTTCGGCGTTTTAGATTCGCCGATTCGCCGAATAATATCAAAAGGATATTAGGTTACTACGTGACAATTAACAGCATATTTTGTCATACTGGCAGAATCAAACATTAATTATCGAAGCAGAATATACTGAATATTACTGAAATGAACGGAGCAAGCTATGCATAAATAATATACATTGATTTTTAACCATATTTTTCTTTAGAAAAGTCCTTAAACGCCATTGAATCCAATAATCTAAACATTTTGAGAATCAATGAGATTAAAATAGGTGCTGTAATAAGTAGCAACATGCTGCACAACTTAAAAGCCTTGCAGAGTACTTTACTCGATACTATTACATAAATATATCACGGGCAGTTTAATCCACATCTCCTGACACCAACGCAACTACTAGACGAGTTGAGTATCATAGCTTGTCAGCTTCCAAATGATATGTCGTTGCCTGTCGGAAATATACAATCAGATTTAAGAAAATAAATCAAATTGCTTCAAGTGAAAGCGCGAATGCTTGAAAAATATTTAATTTTTAAATTATACTGATTTTGAAATAAAAAAATGAAAACTTACTTTCCTCTTTTTTTTGGGGGTTCCTAAAATTTATTATTTGATTTCGCATATTCTGCCAATTTTCGTGCATATTTCAAGAATTTTTGATGCATATTTGCATGCATATAACAAGGTTTTTATGTTGCATATAATCCGGTCTCTATTCATTAATACAACCAGTCGTTAAGTGGAAGTGGACGTTTCAATAGGTTATGTGCGAATATCCTTATTTTCTTAAGTAATATTGTGTTGTAGTTTAAGAAAAGTGTTGAACTTTTGTGTAGATAATGGCTGTGAACTATTTACAAAGTGTTCCCAAGCTGAAAGGCAGAAAAAAATATGATGAGTGGAGTTTTGCGGCAAAGAACTTGTTAGTCCTAGAAGTTTATGCATTATATCAAACCAGTGCCCGGTACTGAAGCTAAGCCTGCAGAAGGTGCAAAACGAAGGCAAAGCTAATTTTAACTATCGATTCCGGATTATATGTACATATCAAAGAAACAAAGACCTCTATCGAGTTGTGGACAAAGCTAAAAAACATGTTCGAAGATTCCGGCTGTTCAAGAAAAATATATTTACTGCGACATCTAATTTACATCAGGCAAGAAAGTGTGAATCAATGACTAATTATGTAACGCAAGTTGTCGAGACAGCACAGAGATTGAAAGGAATAGGATTTGCAATTACGTATGAGTGGATAGTGGTCATTATTCTTGGCAGGTTTTCTGAAAAATATTCTCAAATGATCATGGCAATCGAACATTCGAGAATATAGATTACCACAGATGCAATAAAATCTAAATTAATCCATTTGGAAGTTTCTTTAAATTACCCTAATTTGGTTACCAGTGGCGCTGCATTCGCTGAGAATAAATCATATTCGAAGTCTCGAAACAGCATTAAAAAACTTGTGACTGAGTACCTAAAACTGTAACTCGTATGGAAAATTCCAAAAATAAACTCCTTAGTAAACTACCCCGCTTAGGTTATAGTGATGATCCTAATCAATTATATAACGCTTTTTTTAACATGTATTGTTCAGAATTTAAATCAACTTTCACTCCTAAGAAGTTGTCAGTTAAAGGTGCTACAACCTTCAGTGAATGGGCCACCGTAGGTATATATAAAAGTAGAACAAGGCTTTATGAGCTTTATGAAGAAAGAAATTATAATACTAGTATGGAATTTCGAGAATATGTCAAACAATATTCTAATTTATTTAAAAAAAAATGTTATTCTGCAAAAGTTAACTATTTAAGGTCTAAAATTAGTAATAGTTCAAATAAAATTAGAATGACCTGGGAAATAATTAATACAGAAACTGGTAAAGCAAAGAACAAATGTAATAATTACAGCCTTACAATTGATAATAAAGTAATTAATTCCAAAATAGATGTCGTCACAGCTTTTGAAAAAAATTTCACAGACATTCCAGTCTCAATAACAGAATCATTGAATTCGTCCCCCACTATTGCAGAATCTCTATTGAAAGAGAATATTAACATTGTAATACTGAGTTTAGATTTAGTTGTATCACTGATAGAGATATAATAAAAACGTTTAATGCTCTTAGTGATAAGAAAACAGCCGACCTTTGGGGTAATTCTGTACAAATAACTAAATCAATGATTAGCGTAGTTGCATCAGATTTGGCCTTAATTTTCAATAGGTGCATTGAATGTGGTGTATTTCCTGATTTGATGAAACATAGTAAGATCATTCCCTTATTCAAGGCGGGTAGCACGTCTGATCCTACAAATTATAGACCAATTTCAGTGTTGCCTACTTTCAGTAAAATTTTTGAGAAGATTATACTGGATCAGCTACAAACCCACTTTAGTGCAAGCAAAATTCTACACAGGAAACAGTTTGGATTCAGAAGAGGTCGCTCGACAAGTGATGCCGGTGTTGAACTTTTGGAAAATATATTTAGTGCCTGGGAGGATAAACAGGATGCCCTGGGTGTTTTTTTTTATTTATCTCAAGCATTCGACTGCGTTTTCCATGAAACATTAATCAGGAAATTGCATTACTATGGAATTAGAAACACTGCTTTGGATCTTCTTATCTCTTATTTGGGTAAAAGGATCCAGAGAGTGGAAGTTAATGGATAGAGATCCCTGGGGTCTCTGGTCACTATGGGGGTTCCGCAGGGCTCAATTCTCGGCCCATTTTTATTTCTTGTTTACATAAATGACCTACCTAATGTGATAAATGATAATCAAGAGATATTTATCTATTTGCGGATGACACTTCACTTTTATTTAAACTTAAACGACAGCAATCAGTAACTGATGACGTGAATAGCACTCTCTCTAAGGTTGTGAACTGGTTTAATGTTAATAATTTACTTTTAAACGAGAATAAAACGAAATGTATTAAATTTTTTACACCTAATGTTACGCAGGTAAGACCAATGTTCTAATAAATGGAAAGGAGTTGGATCTTGTGGACACCACCAAGTTTTTAGGTATAACACTAGACTCAAAATTGCAATGGGGCCCACACATTGACGGATTGTCGAATAGACTCAGCTCTGCAGCATACGCGGTTTACAAAATTCGTCAATTAACCGATGTAGAAACAGCTAGACTGGTGTATTTTAGCTATTTTCATAGTGTAATGTCATACGGTATTTTGTTGTGGGGAAATGCTGCTGACATTCAAAGTATCTTTGTGTTGCAAAAGAGAGCTATTCGTGCAATTTATAATCTCAGTTATAGGCAGTCACTGAGGGATAAGTTTAAAGAAATTGGTATCATGGCAGTCGCATCTCAATACATATATGAAAATTTAGTGTATGTAAAGAAAAATAATCATTTATTCATAAAGTTTAGCGACATGCATAAAATAAACACTAGAAATAAAGATAAACTCGTGTTACCAACCACTAGACTACAAAAAGTAAGCAAGTCTTTTCGTTGTCAGGGTGTGCGATTTTACAATAAAGTGCCAAGCAAATTCCACGAATTAAGTATTAACAAATTTAAGTCTTTAGTAAAGCTAAAACTATGTGAAAAGGCTTACTACACTATTACAGACTATTTATACGACAAATTTGCTTGGGATTGATGCTGTTCACTCCCACATTTACGTAGACATCGTTGTTGTTAAGTTTGAAAGTGATGAACATTTAATAATTATTTATTTTATTTTATTTATTAGGGACAAAAAACAGTTATACAATGCAGTCTTTACAATTGATTTAGAATTTACATATTTAAAACGTATAACCCACACTATTGTCCACGAGTTTATAGATGAAGTAGAAAAGGTAACGGACGCGCACTATACACAATCGGTGAATTATATGTAATAATATAAGATAGGTAGGTAGTTAACTGAAAATGTTATCATAGATCAGCAAGAATTTCAGTGGCATTTTTTTTCAATTTAGAGTGAGTGAGAGCGAAAATATCCAAGCTCGTAACATGTGAGTTGTACGTTGTCAATAATCGGCGAAGAGGTGCACGCTCTCCAGCATTAGTTCTACACTTTTCCGTGTAGAATAATCGAGGTACGCGCACCTCCCTCCGAATGACAGACCTGGGTACTACATAACATAGCCTGTTTGATAATTCCGTACAATTATACTTTTTTTTTTTTTTTTTTTTTTTCTCTTTATTTATTGAGCTATGTCAGGTTTGACAATGCCGCTCAATTAAAATTAACAAACAATAATTAATTCCATATACTTAAATGACAGTTTCGCTAAGAATATAATAATATACTTTGCCTATACTAGATCTACAATAATACTTAACTAAAATAATAAACTATAATTATGTAAAGTCTAACTATTTACACCCAATATGTATAATTTATACAACAGTCTGGCTCTGTCCGATACCGGAAAGGCCAAAATATTGTTGCATACCCCAACATTCTGTATGTTAAAGCCAAGAGAAGCTCTATAGGCCTCGTTCCGCGCACACTCCACCAGGAGATGGTATGTGTCCTCCACGACTTTACAAACTGGACAGAGAGGGGTTTCGACCTTTCGCATCAGAAAGGCGAACCTTCCGCACGGGGTGTGCCCGGAACGTAGCCTGAAAGCGGTGATTAACTCAGATCTACCTAGTTCACAACCGTCAAACCAAGGTTTCTTCAGTGGGTACGTAACAATGGTTTTATACCATATCCCCTTCTCTTTAGAGCGTTGATCGAAATATTCCCTCCACCATGTATGACAGCGATTTCTAACTAAATAAATACAGTCGGCATAGTATGGGAGTATGTTTACTGTATCTCCATCTGTACAAGCTTGCTTCGCCAACATATCAACTTTATTGTTTCCTATAATTCCACAATGAGAAGGTATCCACTGTAGTATCACAGATTTATATTCAGCTTTTAATTGTAAAATAAGGTTTAAGACAGAGTAGGCTATCGTTGCGCCTCGGATCGCCGAGGTGCAGCGAGCCAAATGTTGCAAGGAGCTACGAGAATCGGTAAAAATAACAAATTTGTCTGACTTAATCGACTTTATATAGGATAATGCTTCCTGGATTGCCAAAAGTTCCGCGTTCATAATGCATATATTGTTTTCTATCTTAAATTTCATTGACACTTTTATTTCATCGTCTAAAAATGCAGCTCCTATCAACCCTCTGTCCTTTGATCCGTCCGTGTACAATTTATGATACGTATTGTAGTTATGATCTATAAATTCTTCACATATTTTTTTAATGTCTGAGATATTGTAACATCGCTTTGCAAATGTAATGTTTTCAATGTTAGGTTTTATAATTGCCGAAAAATCTATACTACCTACCCACGTATCTAAAGAAAACATGTCTAACCCCTGACTCGACTGGATGGGAAGCTCTTGGAAGTGTTCGTGCATATCTAGTAAAAGAGGTACGCCTTTCCCACGCCAATACCTATTATTTTTGTATCCAATAAGACTTTGTAATATATTGATCGTTAAATTATTTTTTATAGATTTACATTTCAACCACAGTTTCCCTCCTAAATATAACCGCCGGGCATGCAATGGAGGGAGACACAGCTCACTCTCCATTACATGTATCGGGGTAGTTTTTATAAAACCTCCAATAACTTTCATGGCTTGATTTTGTACTTTCTCTAATTTGTATAAATTACTTTTACTACTGTTATTGTATAAAAAACTCCCATAATCCAATCTACTTCTTATTATAGCTATATAAATCCTTCTCATTTGTTTAGGGTGCACGCCCCACCCCGATCCAGCCAGCGCTTTAAAAATGTTAAGATATCTATTTACTCTAATAGTCAACTCACCAACATGCTTATTCTCGAACTTATGCACAGTTGATCCATAATACGAAGTAATGCACAAATATCTACATTGTTGTACGCATTCTCAATATCGATAAAACAACCTATAGTTATTTGGTTTGTAACAAAACCTAACTGAATCCTACTAACTAAATTAGTTAAATTTTCGAGGGTAGATTTAGATTTCCTAAAGCCGGTAGTTTCTTCGTGTAGCAAATTATTATGTTCTAGGTACCACTCGATTCTATTGTTTATAATGGAATGAAATATTTTACATAGACATGAGATAAGAGATATTGGTCTGAGCGCTGCGCCCGCCGACATATCGCGGCCCGGTTTTGGAATCGGAATTACACGTATATTGCGCCATTGTGAAGGAACATATCCACTACACAGAATTTTATTATAATATTAACAAGTATGTCCCTCGCACTAGTAGATAGGTTTTTAATCATTGAATATGATATGTTATCATGTCCAGGTGACGTATCTTTTAATTTAATGCATTTCTCCAATTCACATAATGTTATTGTTTGCTCTAAATGTTCATTATATGAACAAAAGATCGGTGATTTCGGAGTAACGTAGTCAGGTGTTAAACTTTGCAGCAGATTGTAAGCATTCGTTTTATCGATATGTGAACTCGGAGATTTATAACCTTTAAGCCACTTCATTCTACGCCACATGTCAGTCAACTTTGACGATTCGTTAATAGATGAACAAAAATCTACCCAACTCTCGCGTTTAGCTTTTCTTATCAATCGCTGGCTACTACTGATCTTAACTTTTAGCGTAATTAAATTATTAGGGGTAGGATTCTTTCTAAAAACTTTTAACGCCAACCGACGCTCCGCTATCGCCTTTGATAGTTCAGGTTTCCAGTAAGGTTTTGAGGTAAATTGCTGTAAAGGACCTTGATTAAATTTTATATAAGGTATATGCATATCGCCTGACTCATTTATAATATTTAAAAACATATCGTAGGCTGATTGCGGATCATCTGGTAAATTGAAGTCAAAAAGTTTACTATCTATATATTTTTTATATAGCGGCCAGTTAGCTTTCTTATAATTTCTTTTCTTAATAAATTGAGAAAAACTATTATCGTAGCACATACTTATTTTTATTACAACATGGTCGCTGCCTAATGTCTCATTCATACAAATCCAGTTAAAATATACCGCTATATCCGACGTAGCAATAGAAATATCTGGGGATGACTGTTGTAGCATATTGTTAACTAATTTGATGTATGTATGACTACCGTCGTTTAGTACAACCAAATTATTATCCATTAGTGAGTCGAATATCATCTTACCCCTCGAATCTGTTTTGTTGGACCAACTAGAATGGTGACCATTTAAATCACCGAGAAATAAAGTTTTAGTGTGAAACTTTGAAAATAAATCATCCCAAACGTTTTGTGATATTGGTGGGCGTGCATTTGATGGACAGTAAACAACAATAATGTTCTCCACATACTTAATATTAAAAATTTTAACCCTTAAAAGCTGAATATTAGAATTTGAAATGGTAATTGGCTGCAGTTGTGATTTAATAGATTTATGCGTAAAAACAGCTACTCCGCCATAGGAGTCGTCTCTGTCATCTCTATATATATTGTAGTCGCTTCTTTTAAGTTCGAAGGCAGGATTTAGCCAGGTTTCACTGACAACCCCTATATGAATCTTCTCTCTCCATAATAACTGCTCAAAGTCAACACATTTGTATCTAATACTACGAGAGTTCCATTGGGCAATATTTATATTACAGACTTTATTCATAATTATAGATTAAAATTAATTTTAGAAGGTAGATCACAGAGATATTTAACTAGATTTACACTCACCCACTCCATAAGTAATGATAACCCGTGTTTAATCTTAGCCACAATATTCTCATACTTATCAGAAAAAAAAATGTCTTTAAATTTATCCACTAACAATGAGAAAGTTAACCCTCCAATACGCCTCTTCTCTTTTCTCGTCTTGTCTTGAACTTCTGATGGGTCCGTTGTGTTTTCAGGTAAAGAATCCGAGCTATAATTTGAGAAATCCATATCCTCACTTTGAAGTTGTTTTTTGCTCTTTTTCTTGGTTTTTTTCATTTCTTAAGGAGCGGGGAGGCAAAACGGCAGTTGATGGTAGGTCCCGTAGCTCCGTAGTATTACACTGCAAGGATGTTCCACCTTCTTGGTTGCCAGTTGTAGATATCGCTGTCTTCTTCAATACTGCAGCGTACGTCATATTAGTACCTTCAACTGGAGTAACATCTTGTATCGGCTCTTGAGATGAATGATTTGGGCTAGGTACGATGTCCTTCTCACCATTGACAGTTGGAGGCACATACATAGCGGCCGCTTTCTTGTACGAGCAGTTATAATGTCTCTAATTGCCTTTTCTCTTCTATATATTGGACATAATCTATCCAATGCATGATGGTTACCTCGACAGTTCACACAGACGAATGAGGTTACTTGGCAGTTTGTATGATTCCTCGTACACTTCGGGCATACCTCTTTCTTACCAGGACATGAGCGTAATCCATGTCCAAACCTCCAGCATCTCGAGCATTGAGTAACAGGGAAAACATATGGGTCCACCTTCACAACCATGCCATGGATTTTTACACTCGAGGGTAAGGTGGGCCCCTTAAATCCCAATCTTACTGTCTCACTCTCTATCCATCCAGTACCTTCTGCGTTTCTCCTCTTCAGGCGTTTAACCACCAGAAGTTCACATGAGCTCGAAATCGTTTCCATCATATCCTTCTCACTCAGTTCCAACTCCACATCTCTGATGATACCATACGATACACTTACTTCCATGGGTTTTTGGCATCTCCAACCCAGTTGCTGTAACGGCTTAGATGAAATTAAAAGCTCCGAACTTTTTTCATCATCAAACTGCATAATCACTTTGTACGGGTTAAGATATTTAACCCTTGAAACATCACTTATATTGTGCTCCAACAACAATTTCGCCATTGCAAACTGTTTAGGTAATTTCTCCACGCTACTGACTGTGACTTCAATTCTATTCCTCATTCTTTTGCCATCTCTTCCAACTAAAATCCATTCTTCTTCTTCATTTAACTCACGTCCTCTCTTTTGCCTGTCCACTGTCGTCTCTGTAATTTCCATCTGTGATACGTCACTCAAATCGTTGTGGCTAGGTTGGCTATTTATTTCTTGACACATATTTTGCTCAACCGCACTATTATTGTTTATAATATCATGCACTCTGTCATCCTCACTCGACACTGAGTCATCGGACGTAGTAAATAAGACCCTTAGTCGATTAGGCCCGGCACTAGACGATTCCATAAGCACAGGTACGTGTTATCTCTTCCGCGTACTCGGCTCGTGTGAATTATACTTGTTATTGCATATGCCGTACAGCATCATTAACATTAGTTAGATGCGTCTATGCTCCAAGCTTAAGAGCTTAAAATGTTTCAGAAGATCCACATAAGGAATCTTAGTATGAAAACATTTGTAATAAGTAGTACAAAGATTTTTTTTCTGTACTATTTCAATCCTCTGCTTATATTTCTTATAAAAGGGACTCCAAATGGGTACAGCATACTCTAACTGGTAGGTAGGTAGTGGGCTTTTTGAAGTCTTTACAAGAGCGCATGACGCAACCATACATCCGAAAGGCTTTACTTATGATATTGTCGACATGAATATCTAAATGTAATTTAGAATCTAGATGAACACCAAGATCTCGAGTACATTCGTTTTTCCTTAGATATGTGTCATTCAGTGTATATGGAAAGTCAATAGGACTTTTGTTCTTTGTGAAGGATATAAAGTGACATTTTGGTAAACTAAGGTGCAGTTTATTAACAACACAGTACTGTGAGAGCCTACAAAGATCTTCTTGCAATAGTATGCAATCCTGAGTATTCGTGCAGGTCTTATAGATTTTCATATCGTCAGCATACATTAGGAATTTAGAGTTAACTATACAGGTACTAATATCGTTTATAAACAAAATAAAAAGCAAAGGGCCTAGTACTGAGCCCTGGGGTACTCCGGACTCGACGACCATAAAATCGGACTCATAACCATTGATAACGACCTTTTGAGTTCTACGAAATATGTATGATGTGAACCATCTAAGTAAATTACCTCTGATGCCGTTGAAGGCAATTTTGTCCAAAAGCAATTTGTGGTCCACCTTATCAAAAGCCTTTTGAAAGTCAGTGTATACAGCATCAACCTGGATGCCCTTATCCAAGTTCTCAAATAAAAATTGGGTAAAGATCATTAAATTTGTAGTAGTAGAACGGGATTTAACAAATCCATGTTGTTCGGGAATAATAAGATGACTCAGTTGAGGAAAGAATTGACCGTGTACTAGACTTTCAAAAAGCTTAGATAAGGTGGACAGTATTTATAAGGGCCTGTAGTTTTCTATATTACCTTTGTCTCCACTTTTATGAACTGGTATAATGAAAGCTCTTTTCCAAATGCACGGAAATACCCCTTCCTTGAGACATTTGTTAAAAAGTATATACAACGGAATGTGGATACATTGCGCTGTGTGCTTAAAGAGCATAGGTGGGAGACCATCCGGACCTGGCCCCTTAGTTAGATCTAACGACAACAGTGACTTTAATATGACATTCTTATCGAGATAGATGTCAGATATGCAAGAAGATATCTCAGCAAGTTCATTGGGGGGTGACCAATTCTGAGCGTCAAAGGTAGATGATTTATAAACCGAGCTAAAGAATGTGGAAAATAATGAGCAGATTTCTTTGGGATTGTTAGAAAATATATTTTTATAACACAGGCTAGCTGGAAGTCCCCTGTCCTTCCTGCGTCTAGAAATGTACGAACAAAAGTGCTTAACATTGAGAGGTATGCTATCTTCAATAGATGATATATGCTTATTGAAACATTGTTCAGATAGTTGTTTAAAATGTTTTCGGTAGATGGAGAATTTTTCATAATCTGATAGTTTTCGAAGTTTTTTCCACCTTACCCGAGCACGTTCCTTCTGTTTGAAAATTTTAATGAGAGGGGCACTAAACCACACAGGAAATGCAGTTGATCTACTTCGCGTGAGTGGAACATGTAATCGAATAATACCGTATAAATATTCATAAAAAACATCTACTTTATTATTTTGGTGTATTTCGTATTTTGTTTTCGTATTTTATTTTTCGTTGACTTTGAATTGTATAGTATTTTTTTATTTTTTGTGTAAGTATGTAAATGTGAGTATAGTGTAGGCTTGTAATGTTAATTCATATTTTATTATCTTTCTGGTGGTTTTGAGTGTTTCCACGGCCTACCCAAATGTCCTGCTGGCGGTAGTGTCATGCTTCGGGTCGTTGATCTTGACCAATATCGGTTAGGCTACACGATGGCTGGAGCCTGTATGCCGTCTGTAACGACAGGCTGACTCAAAACTATGGTCCTTTCCTCAAAAGGCCTATCCAGACCCTATACTGTACTCGCACAGTTTTATTTAACTTTGTTTACGCACTTAAAAAAAAAGACACTTCTGTGGTTTGTTTCGGCGTTTCTTTCCAGAGTGAGTCTTAGGAAATGCCGGCTCCTTCTAGCTATAAAGTCCGACTTGTAAAAATATCTGAAAAGATTTACTTACAGGAATAAATATCATTTATGCACACTTTACGCCAAATTTACAGAAATGACGATTGCTGACAATACAAAGTTGCCTGTATTGTGTTTCGGAGATGTGCAAGTAACTACAGATCGCAACTATGACATCACAGTTAAGAATGTCTTGTGTATTCTAATGTTTTCAACAAATCTGTTATCGGTGAGCGAACTTATAAAGAACGGAATCAAAGTTATGTTTGAAACTAATAATTGCTATATTAGAAATATGAAAAACGAGCTGGTAGCGACGGCACACTTAACCAATGGTGTATACAAGTTGAATATAAAAACAGCAGATTGTATGTATGATTGGCGAGTGCGGAGACATGGCACAGGCGTCTGGCACACATTAATAGTAGCGACTTAAATGAGTAGACTGAGTGAGACAAATGAGTAATGGCATCGTAGAAGGAATAACATTACCTGCTTCTAGTGACACAACGAAAGAGAACTGTGTAACCTGTTGTGAGGGTAAACAAATGAGATTGCCATTCACACAAAGTCAACAAAACAGCTCGGAGCCACTACAAATAGTCCATGCTGATGTATATGGGCCAATGGAAACTAAGTCCATTCGAGGTTCACAATGCT